GTCGGCGCGAATACCCTTACAAGGGTATCCGCCCTGGTTTTTGCAAGTGTCAGAAAATAAGTTTGGGATAAAGTTTGAGTAGGCCGCGGGAGGCGCGGCCGCGTTTGTGGCCTACATTGGCTAAGATAGAGGGTGTGTGGGCGCACAATCTTAAGGTGCGTGTGTGATATTCCCTTTGGATTGATCTGATTCTTTGATCGTTATTGTTTTAAAAGATTAAAAGGTTTGACTTTGAGTTTTGATATGTTTATCACTAATGGTAGGGTTAGCATGCTGCATGGCGCGCATAGTAACCACGGTGCAGTCTGAACAAGCCTGCGTGAGTGGCCAGTGGTCGCACGCTTGGTTGCAGGTGGGAGTGAGGCCCAAACCGTTTCTTGACCCTGAACGCTGTGCTGCACCATTTTATATAGGGTTCCGCGCGCGCTGGTCTCAGGCTTGGGCTTAGCCCTATAGGTTACGATACTGGACTGTTGCCGCGAAGGTACGAGGACCGAGGCCAGCGGGCGGCGGCATAGGAGCGTTGGAGCTTTGAAGGAGCTGAGGGGTTGAGGGTCCCACGGGACTATCCCCCTTAGTTTTGCGGGGGGGGGTCCAAACGCGGGCTCGCTAGTTTCAAACTTTTTATTGATTTTTATTTTTATTTTGGTCGGTACCGGTTCCGCACCCGGGCCAAGGGTCCATGAGCGTGACCGTGGTGGGTACACCTATGAACAACTGACATATAGGCCGCGGTCGGGCAAGGCGAAGGCGTTGGGACCGTTAGCAGTATCGAGGGGCATAACCTCGACTGAGTCCTTCAGGACATCCGTTAAAATTGGAACGGTACAGAGAAGAATAGCATGGGCCCTGCGCCAGGGTGAAAAGTATAAATTGGCGTAAGGTCCGACGACCGAGAATTTTTCTCATAGTTGGGTACTGTCGGACCATGCGGAGTCAAGGAGGCCGGGTGCGGGGCGCTATGAGCCTATTGTGATCGAGCGGTGTGTTAGAAATGGAAGGAAAGCGAAGTGCGAATGTGACGAGGAGGTCGGAGTAGGGAGGAGGGTGGATGGACCCGGACGGGTCAGCGCGCTGGGAGCGTTCGGCGGTGGAGAGATGGTCGTGGGGTCGGACATAGCCCTAAGCTCTCGATGACGAGCGCAACGACTTGGGCAGAGTAGCGAAGGGGAACGTTAGGACAACCGGTGGAATGAGGAGGCGAAACGATAACGCTACGACAAAGAACGCAACGCTAGTAGAGGCAGGGTGAACCCGGCCGGGAAGGTGCGCCAGGCACAGGCAGGGACATAGCGGACTATGGCGAAAGCGAGCTGAAACAAGAGGAAGCGGGTAGTACGAAACTCGCCCGATCCGTGATGAAAATGGCTGAGGGAAAAGCCGCCTTTGAGGGTTTGGGGGCGGGCGAGTCGAGATCTGCGGTCAGATTTGGGTGATACTTAGTTAAGGTGAAGGTAAGTCGTGCCTCGCGTAGGCCCTATCCTGTCGTAGGGGCTCGCGAGAGGTATGGCTGGCGCACTCGGCCGGAGCGGCCTTCGGAAGCTCCATGTGCATTCACGACGAGGATTTAGACCGACTCCTGCGTGACGCGGCCGGGAGGGTCCCGTGCTGCCTTGTGCGGTGCCGGACCGATGCGCTCGACAGGTGATGGGCCCGTGGCCAGGTTGTGCCGGCCAACAGCCATCCCTAAGGGTTACGCCCTAGTGGTGCTAAAGCTTTATCGTTTAGCTTAGTCTTCCTTATCTGCCCTAAGATTAACACAAGTGGCTGGACGGTGTGTCGCAACAATACAGGTCTATTGCGGGACTACGCATAGGCCTATCACACATAAAAGGTATTTACTAGCCCTCTGTTGGACAACACAGAGGAAACATGGCAACCTATCCACATTCACAAAACAGAATCACCGCCAGATTCACAAGGCCGTGACCTCCCAACTTGATCAGGGTAAGAAGGTCACACATCTTAATGACATCTCTCAAAATCAAACCATTTTGCGACATTCCTGAAAATTTCACCAAATGGCCAACAAATCTTGGTTCCTCTCGTCAGTCTTTATCTTCCCAAAATCAGCTTTCCATGCCATTAAATCTATTAACCACCTTTCATGCAAGGGGGTCTCGCTCAATACGTCTCCCAACCATCCCTCTCTCTCTGGGATGAGCTCTCACATGACCTTTGTAAGTTTATCTTCCTTTTCTGAAGATGAGTCTCTCAAATAAAACATAAGACTACCTTTTTACTCAAAAGGTGTCTCAACCATAAAACAACACAAACTGACCCTATCATCCGCCTATGGGCAGATCGCACAAGTATATCGAAGAGTAGACAGTTCACAGCCATCCACAATCACAAAATACGAAGCATATGAGATGTTTTTCACATATCTTTTACACAAACCGTCATATATCAGGATAAAACCACCACTGTGATTGTGAGAAGTGATCGTCACATACTTATCCCCCTATATATATGTGTATTTATGTTGGGTGTTCGCATGGTCTGAGTGGGCCACGCTTAAAGGTAGAAATTGGGGCTGGGATCGAGGAAAGAAAGAAAACCCCCTCTACAGTGTCGTATGCTTCTTAGGGATTTCTTTGTCGGATGTTAGTCCTGGCCCTGGATTCGAGGTCCTTGTCCAGGACATCCTAGACCCTAGACTTTGCAGGGAAGGAATCTTCCCCTGCGCAGAGCCTATCTGCCCTGCCCGTCGAGACACCCAACCTTGAGGCCAGAAATGTCGCGAGGGCTGAACGACATGTCCTTCAACCGTTCAATATCGTGAAGGGCAACCCCTCACGATATATTCCTTCAGCCATTCAATATTGCGAGGCCGAAACTGCGATTGCCGCATATGACTAGCATCACCGGTTGATCGAGCCAGATCTTCGGCCTACCGCGTTTGTTATTTAGCGGTAGTGCCCTCACAGGTTGCGCCACAATAGGCTTTCTCCGATTGCACTGCAGTTTAGTCCACCACTTGCCTCGCCACTTGACTACATGCCTACTTGCCAACCTTCTAGAAGGACTACAACTAGACTTCTGGAACTTGCTAAGACTTCTACTCTATAGACCTACAGATCGAACCCCTGCTGCCTATGGACCTACGACAGACCTACCAACTGTCCACGAATACACAGGTCACAGATTCAACTCTCGGCGTCTACACCGATACTGTACATAGGTAGGGTGAGGTCTAGGGATCGAACCCTAGGTGCTGCATTTGCTACTGCTAAAAGGTGAAAACCGTTTCAGCAGCCCCCTTTGTGGATTTAAAAAAAAAAAAGAAAACTATGGCCCAATCAGGGTTTGAGTTTGTAATTGCACTTGAGGCAAAAGGGGCGGTAATGCTGAATGTATATGACCTACGTTTCGGGTCCTGTGGTGGGGTCGCGTGGGGGTGTGTTGTATTCGCAGGATTGCTTGAAGTGCAATTGCAAACTGGTTTCGTGACTGCGCCGAAGTTACCCCTATTTTTTCATACGCCAAATCTGCAGTACCTGATTTGTTGGATCACAGTTACCTTGCAGCTATCAGGTGCACAAAGGGCAAAACCAAAATAAGAAAATTCACACGACATTGTAGTAGTGGGGGGGGGGGGGGGRGGGGGGGGAGAAAAARAAGGGAAAAAAAAAAAAGAAAAAAAAGTGTTAAACCAATGGGTTTCTTATTGGCTCAAGAAGCAGTCAAGACTGTCATCAGCGATTACAAGAAGCAGGCAAAGACTATCATTAGCTATCACACTTTTGTTTCTCTTTTGGTTTTTCCCCTTTCAGTTTTTTTTGTTTTTTTTTTCAAGTACGGCACTCGATGAAATGGGGATCGGATTTCAGGTTATTTATGTGCTCGGTCCGCAGGGAAAGTGTCACGAACAAACCGCCACCGCCATAGCCGGGTGCTTGCTGCTTTTTCCCCGCAGCAGTGATGACGATAAATCCCTCAAATTCTGACATCGGCGGGTGTCCGAAGTACACTGGTGGTCCCCACCCGAAATCGCAATCGTAGGGAGGCAAAAGGGACCAATTACTGCAGATAAGGTCCGGTCCCATGAAGTACCTGAAGGGGGGCATGATAGCCGTCAGATCATCCTGTTGCTCGATCCAATCAATGGTGTCACGAAGGTTATCGTCCACCATCTCCTGTACGGACCGATGGATTCGTCACTAGCTGGCCAGCAGGGGCAGAAGCGCAAGACCAAAACATGATGTTGCTAAAATACCCTTCAGGAAGACCAGGCCGCAACCGCTTTCTACCGTCGACCGCCATGCCTAGTCTGACCAGTTTCCCATCTTCTCCTGACTGCCACATGTCAGAGCAAGCGCTGGGCACATCAGCACGGCCCTCTCCTTCGGCTTCTTCTTTTTCATCTGCTTTGGACACGCGGAGGCCTCTTGCCCGAGTGACGCATATCCACAAATGAGCCATCAGGACATCGTTCATAGTGAATCGCTGAGCTGCTGGGCCGATACGGAAGTTAGAACTGTGTTAATCTCTTGTCTCGCCTTCCACACCAAGATCATCACCAACACCATGGCCACCATCGCCAACACCTGCATGTGGAGCAGCATACGAAGAACGCATTAGTATATATCTCCCACAGGGAAAAAAAAAGAAGGAAAGTATGTCTCCGGCAGCAGGAGCAAAAAGAAGAAGAGAAGGAGAAGAGTGGCGAACAAGGAGAGCAGCAAGCGAAGAAGAAAAAGAAGAAGAACAAGAACAAGAACAAGAAGAAAAAAACAAAGGGGTGAAGGAGGGGAGAATAAGGGGTTGAAGGAGGGGAGAAGAAGGTGGAAGAAGAAGAAGAAGAAGCTGGAGGGGACGGAGGAGAAGCGGGAGGAGGAAGAGGCGGCAAAGACCGAGAAGCTGGAGGGGAAGGAAGAGGAGGAGGGGAGAATAAGGGGTTGAAGGAGGGGAGAAGAAGGTGGAAGAAGAAGAAGAAGAAGCTGGAGGGGACGGAGGAGAAGCGGGAGGAGGAAGAGGCGGCAAAGACCGAGAAGCTGGAGGGGAAGGAAGAGGAGGAGGGGAGGAGGAGAGGAGGAGAGAAAAGAGAAGATGCAGAAAGTCGGAATGGTGAAAAAGGAGGAGAAGACGGAGAAGATGGGAGGGGAAGTATGCAAGCAGACCGGGGGGAGGGGATTAACAAGGGGAAGGGAAGGAGAAGGAGCCGGAAAACAGGAACCGAAGAAGGTGAGCAAACTGAGAAGAGGAGAGAAAGGAAAGGAGGAGAAAAAAATGCGGAAGGAAAACATGGAGGACAAGGAGGAGGAGATCGATAAGGACGTGGGAAGGAGAAGGGGAGGAGAAAGGAAGGAGAAGGGAAGGAGAACGGAGGGAGAAGGGAGGGAGAAGGGAGGAGTAAGGAAAAGGCAACAACCGATAGTGGAGAAGAAGGACGCGACCGCAAGTGCGGAGGAGAGGAGAAAGAGCAGTTGGAGGAGGAGATGAGAAGGATTGGGGAAAACAGTAATATGATCTCCTCACCTCTGTGCAATGGCTCGAACGGTATTGCCCTTATGTCCTCCTCTGCCCTCCGTTTGAGAGCAGCCAAGTCTTCGTCGGTGAAATGCCACATCTTCGTCGACATGTCATGGAGTCCCGGTGGAGTGGGGATTTGGTTATACACCGCCGCCTCCTTTCCAGATTTCATACCCTCTTCAGATGCGGGCTTGGCGATGGCGGGATCGGGAGCTGGAGGGGGTGTTGAAGGCGGGGCAAGGATTAGCCCTTTAGGAGGACGCATGACTCTTGGAGGCGCGCGGGGCTTGAGAAGAGAGGGATCGTGGATAGGAGGCAAAGCCACCTTGGCGGGAGACTTGGACACACCACATCCATTTTGAGAGAACTCGATCCCTCGCCGCGCGATTTCCGCCCATGAGTTCATGAACTCGGCCATGGGACGCCCGTCCGCTATGGCGTGATGAATCACCGACAAGGTGCTGACCCCTCCACATCGGAAAGTTGTCACCTTTACCCTTAATAAGAAGTCCTCCCTGTTGATTTCCCTTGCCGCACTGTCTTCCTACACTTTTGCACGTGCGGCCAGAGCTGAAGGGGCCCATCTTAAGTCTATCGGAAGGGAGATGGGATGGGGGTGGCAAGAAAGACCGCTGCTGGGTTCATCCAGCCTGCCGTCCGCCATAGCCAGCACTAGAAGAGCTCCAACGTCATTACACTCGACCCCAAGTGCACCCTTTTCTTTCATCCTCAAGCGTCCCTCTAGGACAGGATAAAGAGTGAGTGTCTCCGATAGGGATGTTGATAGACGATCTACATCCACCAGCTTCGCTGCGTTTGGCCCTGGGTAATAGTGAGCGTTCATGCTAATAACACGTGGAATTACTTGGTCCACGTTAGACAACCATTGCACGTGGGGATCCGTTGGTATGGAGGGGAAAAGCACCAGCTCCTCCAACTCCTGCATCTCCATTTCCTCTCTACTCTTGCCCTGGCTGATGGAGAGACAGCTAGACCATAGAGCATAAGCCGGACGGAGGCACAAACGTCGAGGCAGAGAGAGAGAGAGAGAGAGAGAGAGAGAGAGAGAGAGAGAGAGAGAGAGAGAGAGAGAGATGATGGAGAGACAGCTAGACCATTGTTACATGCTGCGCCTGCACACGAGGGCCATTTTCCAGGCCCTGTGTCCCTCAGGTTGAAAGCCTGAAATTCAGGCTTAAGGCCTGAAAACCAAGGCCTACAGGCCCCGTGACTGTTCAGCCCGAAAGCCTGAAAACAGGGGCCTACAGTCCCTGTGTCGTTTCAGACTAAAAATGGCAACAACCTTTTTAGCCTGAAACGAAGGGCCATTTTCGGTCGTTCATCAGAACGACCGGCCCTGAAACTTAGGCACCGAACCAGGGTTTCGGGAACAGGCTATTCTTAGCCTGTCACCACGCCAGCCTCAGCAACTGCTGCAGGGCCAGCCCCTGGCACACTTCGGCATTGGCAAGAGCAGCCTCCTCGGCCTGGCTCGCCCTTCAGGCAGTCAGGAGGCAGGCCGAGGTAGTACATAGGGACTTCCCATGCACTTCACGGGTTGGCAGGAGGCAGTTGTAGTCTTCAGGATTCGGCAGCAGCACTCTGGAGGGAGCGCTGCAGGGTAGTAGTAGCGTTAGCTTTTAGTCTTCAGCGCTGGGCGYGGTAGGTAGCTGTAGTCTCCAGCRCTKGGCGCCATAGCYAGGATAGCACTAGAGAGAGAGAGAGATTGGGCGGAGGCCAGAGGTACTTACCTGCAGCGCCGTTGCTCCAGCTTCGTCTTCGAGGTACCTGCAGCACAGCGCCAACATCACAGGTTAGTATCTGGCTCGTAACAGAGAGAGAGTTCTTTTTCTTCCTCTTCTCAGTCCACCATCTCCTTCCCCCCCTCTCATCAACTGACTTCACTGCATCTGCAGACTACGAGAGAAGAGAGAAAGAGCTTGGTGACATCGGATCCAGACTCGACTTTTGGACTTCAGACATTGCAACGAGGGATTATTTGGGACTTGTGACAAAGACTTGGTGTTGACGACATTCCCATCTCTCTCCCTCCTTTCGTCTGATTCCCTCCTCTTCGTCTGTGTATGTCTGGACCTGGCGCTTTCTTCCTGTGTACAGCGCCAGGCTCCTTCATACCTGGTGATGGATACGATGTATGTTTGGTCTGCGTTCAAACATTGATTGGGCTAGTCAATAGCATTCTAGGATTCTGCTTCGCTATCTGATACTGTCAGGTCAGTCCCGGTCAGGTCAGGCTTTGTATCTAAGTCTTCCCTGCGCTATTCAACACCATTTTGTATGTATTAGAATGCACATTGCTTGTTGAGATTCTACTTGCACTGCATTGTCCA